TAACACAAGCGAAAAAGTTCCCTGAGCATATATAGATTATTAAGGAGGCATCAACAGATAATTAAAAACTCATACCAGATTTTTAAAAAATCTATTTGGTTTCTTGCCAAATGGCACAACATTGCTTGCTCATGTTCAGGTTAAACATAGTAATATGCTGAGGGAAATAAACCAGTCAGAAAAAGACAAGCACTATATGATCGTACTTATTTACGGTTTATCATGAACAAAATAAGCTGTTGATCAAAATAGATCCAGAGACATGGAAGGAGGGAACAGACTGACAAACCTCAGAGTGATGGAGGGTGAGGTGGGGTGGGAAGAGACAAACCAAAGAATTTTTATGCATATATGCACAACAAATGGACATAGACATTAGGCTGGGGAAAGCAGGAAAGGGGGGGTAGCAGGGAGTAAGGGGTCGATAGGGGAAGAAGGGGGGACATCTATAATACTTTCAAAAATAAAAATATTTAGTCCAGCCAGTGTGGCTCAGCGGTTGAGCATCAACCCATGCAGCAAGAGGTCACTAGTTCGATTCCCGGTCAGGGCACATGCCCAGGTTGTGGGCCTGATCCCTGGTGGAGAGCATGCAAGAGGCAGCCAGTCGATGTTCTCTCTCATTGATGTCGCTGTCTCTCTCCCTCTCCCTTCCTCTTTCTCTCAAGTCAATAAAGAAAAATTATAAAGAAATAAAAAATAAAAATATTTAGAGAAGAACGAACCAATTTTATACAATTTCTTCTATAAAAACAGAAAAGAGAACACTTCCTAACTAATTTTATAAGACTAGTATTACCATGATACTAAAACCAGACTAAGCAAAAAAATAAATAAAAGAAAACTATAGTTTAATATACCTTATGAACTTCAATGTAAAAAATCCAAACAAAATAAGACAATCAAAATTAGGAATGTATAAAAATAATTATTAGAACTGAGATTTTTACAGGTAGGAAAGGCAGATTCAACATTTACAAATCAATATAATCCACCATAACAACAGCTAAAAAAGAAAATTTATATAATCATATTAATTTAGGCATAAAAAGTATTTGACAAGATCTAGCATATAATCATAACAAAAACTCCTATAAAACTAGTAATATAAGAAAACTTCCTGAACTTTATGAAGCACATTTATAAAAAAAAACTACAGCTAATACCATATTTAATGATGACAGACTGAATGCTTCCACAAAAAATCCAGAACATAGTAAGAATATCCTCTCTCACCACTCCTATTCACATAGCATGGAAGTCCTAGCCAGCACCATAAGGCAAGAAAAAATAAAATTAAAAGCACATGCATTGGTAAGAAAGTAATAAAACTGCCCTGGCCGGTTTGGCTCAGCAGTTAGAGCATCAGCCTGTGGACCAGAGAGTACCAGGTTCAGTTCTCGCTAGGGGCGTGTACCTCGGTTCTAGTTTGTCCCTGCCCGGGTTGGGGCCGTGTGGGTGGGAGCTAGTCAATGTGTCTCTCTCACATCAATGTTTAAAAAAAAAAGAAAGAAAGTAATAAAACTATCCCTATTTGCAAATTACATGATTGTCATGGTCCCAAAGAATCAACAGTAAAACTAGAACTAATAAGTGAGTTCATCAGGGCCGTAAAAATCAATATAAACACACAAGATTCAATCATATTTAAACAGCAAACATGAAACAACAAATGTGAAACTAAAACTTAAAACATAAAACCATTTATAATTGTTCAAAAAAAAGTAAATACTTAGATATAAATGTGAGAAAAATGTATAGAATCTGTATCCCCAAAATTACAAAACACTGATAAAAGAAATAAAAAACCTAAATAAATGGAGAGACATACCATACACATGGATTAGACGACTCAATACAGTAAAGATGTCGATTCTTCCAAAATTTGATCTATATTTCTAATGTACTACCTATTAAAATCCAGTAGGGGTTTTTGTAGACATTGACAATCTTATTTTTAAATTCTTATGCAAAGGCTCATGACAAGAAGAGTTAAAATAAATTTCTAAAAGAATAAGGTAGAACAAATCAATCTACCCAATAGAAATCTTACTATATACAGCAACTGTAATCAAGACAGTGGCAGAAGGATAGACAGGTAGATCAATGGATTAGAAACACAAGCAAATAGGCCCAACTGATTACTGACAAAGGTACAAAAAATATTTCAACAAACGGTGCTGCACCAATTGGATATCAGTAGACAAAAAAAATAGAACCTCAACCAAAACCTCACATCTTATACAAAAATTAACTCAAAATGAATTGTGGACTTAAATTTAAAACTATAACTAAAAAACTTTTAGGAAAAAGTCTTTCAGTACTAGGCTATGCAAAGTGTTCTTAGACTTGACAATAAAGGCACAATGCATAAAATGAAAAAATTGTTACACTGGACCTAGTTAAAATTAAAAATTTTTGCTCTATGAAAGACCCTGTAAAGTGGATGAAAAGGCAAGCTACAATATAGGAAAAAGTATTTGCAAACTACATATCCAACAAAATATTTGCATATAAAACATAAAGAACTCTCAATATTCAACAATTAATGAAATCAAATATTTCAATAGGAAATGGGCAAAAATGAACAGACATGTCACTGAGGAAGATACAGATGGCAAATGAGCATATGAAACAATGTCCAACATCACTGGCCATTAGAGAAATGCAAATTAAAATCACAATGAGATAACACTAAATACCTACCTATCAGAATAGCTAAAATAAAAAAATAATTATAACAAACGTTGGCAAAAATGCAGAGGACCTAGACAGCTCTTGCATTGCTGGTGGTATATAAAATGGTAAACCACTTTCAAAAATAGTTCAGTTTCTTAACAAAACTAAACATGTATTTAGGATGCAATATCCCAAGGAAATGAAAATGTTATGTTCACACAAAAACCTATGTATGTTCATAGCATTTTCATTTACCACTGTCAAAACTGAAAACAATCCAAATAGCCTTCAACAGGTGAATGGTTAAATAAATTGTGGTACATCCATACCATGGAATCCTATTTAGCAATAAAAGGAACAAACTACTGATACCCTGGCCCAGTGTGGCTCAGCAGTTAAAGCATCAGTTCATGCTCTGAAAGGTCATGGGTTCAATTCCCAGTCAAGGGCACATACCTGTGTTGCAGGTTCCATCCCTAGCCCCAGTTGGGGCACGTGCAGGAGGTAACCAATCAATGTGTGTCCCTCACATTGATGTCTGTCTGTCTCCTTCTCCCTCCCTTCCTTCCACTTTAAAAAATCAGTGGAAAAAATATCCTCAGGTGAGGTTAAAACAAAAAATAAAAATAAAAAAGAACAAAAGATCTAAAGAATTATGCTGAGTGGGGGTCGGTGGAGTCCATTTCAAAAGGATGCACATTGTATGATTCCAAAACAAAATTATAAAGATGAATAGCTGATTAATGGTTGATAAAGACTAAGGAAGGGAACTGGAAGGAAAGTAGTTATATCTATGAAAGGATAGGATAAGTGATCCTTGTAATAGAACTGTTTTGTATCACGACTGTGTGATGATACACAAATCTACACATGAAAAAATTGCATAGAACTAATTACATACACAAATGAGTACATGTGAAATCTATACAGAGTTGATGAATTCCATCAAATGTCAATCTATACAAGGTTAATGAATTCCATCAAATGTCAATTTCCTGACTGTGATACTGCACTATAGCTAGCTAATCAAAATATTACCAGTGGTGAAAACTGGGTAAAGGGACATGGGTTTTCTCTCTGTGTATTATTTCCTACCACTAACGATAAATCTACAGTTACCTAAAAATAAAAAGGTTTTTTTAAATATGTACCACCTTGCTGTTCTTATTTTTGTTCTGTGAGTCCTGGATTAGAATAAAATGAATGTCCATGAGTCTGAAACTGATGAAAAATATATACTGAAATATAAAAGTAAATAAACAAAAATAAATAAGGCAGAAGGGACAGCTCATCCTTAAACAATAATTCCAATTAATAAATGCAAAATAAACAGGGGAAGCATAAAGTAACAACTAGAACATTACAGTAATGCAGTTCCAGGCAAGTTCCTTTGATAAACTCAATGCATATATCAGTGGGTAAAAGCTTCAGAAAAAAACAGTGTATTTGAATAGTTCCCATAGACTTCCTTAAGATATTCATAAATGACACACTTCAGGGGGTGAACCTAGTACACTCTACATTAACCAAGCTACCCTAGTTAAAACCACCAGTAACGACATATTAACATCATACACCCCTGATCTAACACCATAATGCAATATAATCATCACACACACCCTGAAAAACCCAAAAAGAAACAAATACTGCAAAATAGCTGACCATATTTTTCAAAAGTGTTAAAGTCATGGAAGGCAAGGAAAGACTAAGGAACTGCCACACTAGGAACTCCTGGGAGGAGACCAGGAAGCATGAAAACTGAATACAAAATGTGATACTGAAACAGAAAAATATGTTAGTGAAATCTGAATGCTCTGTAGTTACTTAATACTACTGAACCAATGTTAATTTTTGACAATTGCACTATTGTTATTCAGGGTAATAAATTTAGAGAAAGTTATATAAAAGGTATGAGAGCCTTCCATACCATTTTCAAGAGCTTTATTGAGATAGATTTACATAAAATAAGGTTCAACCATTAGAGGGTACAATTTAATGGATTTTAGTATATTTAGAGTTCTGCAAATATCACCACTATAATTTTAGAACTTATTCATCCTCCCAAAAAGAAACCTCACACTCATTAACAGTCATTCCCCATTCCCCTAATATTTTTGCAATTTTTTCTGTAAACCTAAAATTATTTCAAATTAATACCAAAAGGTAGTTACATTATACTGAATTAAAATTTATATAAATACAAATTTTGACACACTATATAATGATATATAATCAAGAGAAGAAAATGAAATTCGTGTGTTCTAGAGTTCTTGAATTTTCTCTCTTACACAATAATGCTTCTCATACAAAGTTTGTCTCACCTGGCCAGTTCTTTAATTAAGTTTGCAATGCGTCTTTTGTCTTCAAGACATAAATCCTTCAACGATGCACTCTTTATTTGTCCCTTGCAGAAATTCTAAAACAGAAAAAAACTTTTTGGTTAACTTTTGCTAAACACAATTTTTAAGACTCAAGAAATTTCTTAAAATAAGCATAAGAAGTGAAGTTAGATATATTTTATCTTGCGGAAACACTACTAGCCTGCTTCATTTAAACTTACTATGAACTCAAAAAATAGCTAAGAAACTGCTCACCAGGGGACATCATGAAATTTACACAGAAAAGCAGAGAGAAAGAATTCAAAGGCAGAAATGTCCCTGCTTAAATTCTAGAGAACATTTAAAAACAACTTTCCCTTGGTGAATGCCATAGGAATTAAACACCTAATGGAAGATTCTGAGAATCTTTCTTACACCATAGCCCTACTTAAAAGTACACTAAGGTTGGCAGCAGATGCATCTGTTCTAACCTCTCAGGAATCTGAGGTTCATTCCAAAGGGTACCAGACCAAAGAGTAACAGTAATAATAATAACTAACACATATTTAGTGCTTTTTGCACACCAGGAATAGTCTAAATACTTTATACTTAATAATCCATCTCATTTTCCCAACAATGCTATTAAGGTAGGCATTATTATTTTAAAGTGAGGATACATATCTTGTCTGGGATTATAGCAATTAAGTAGCAGGATCAAGACTAGGTTCTAGAGTGTGTGCTTTAACCACTGTACTATCCTGTCTCCTGTGCTACAAAAATTTCTCCAAGTACTTGAACATCTTTAATAGGGGTCTTTAAAGCCATGAAACTCAGGGAATCACAAGGGAACTGAAGGCAACATGTAAAAGGAAGGAACTGTAATCCATGGGATTTATGTACCCACAAAATAGGTCAGTCCAATTACTTCTGGTAGTCAAAAATAATCCAAGACCCTAAAAATGAATCATGGAAACACTGAGAGCCAAAAATGGGAAGAAGAGGGAAGAAAAGGAAATGAGAAAGAAATCATAAGAAAATAAAATAAATTTGGTTTTAGATACATTATGTCAATTTAAGATACAAGGAGGACATTCCTATGGAAATGTTTAGGTAGGAAGTAGGAAATGTAGCTACAGCTCTCAAATCAGAGAAAAACAAAGATTTAAAATTTAGCTAGATGATATTATGAAGGATGTTTAGATTTTTATTATTTTCTTTATACTTTTCTGTTTTAAAATTTTCCTTAAAGTTAAGAAAAATACTGCCTAGCCTGTGTGGCTCAGTGGATTGAGCATCGTTCCACGGACTGAGAGGTCCTGGTTCGATTCCTGGTCAGGGCACATGCCCAGGTTGCGGGCTTGTTCTCAGTATGGGGTGTGCAGGAGGTAGTCAATTGATATTTCTCTCTCACACTGATGTTTCTATCTCACTCTCCCTTCCTCAATCTCTAAAAAATCAATAAAAAGATATTAAAGAAAAATATGTTTTGAAAAATTATCTAAGAAAAAATTATATATCTGAAAGGACAAGAAGGGAATCAGAAGCATATAATACTCTGGGAGAAAGAAAAAATGTTTCAAGAAAAGTATGGGGTTAACAGTGCAAATGATAGAACAAACTAACAGTATGTGGAATGATGTCATTGGATTTGGCAGTAGAAGCTGCTGCTAACCCATGAAAAGACATTTCAGTAAAGGTGCAGTGAATACAAGAACAAACAAAAGAAACTCTTGCATATATGTAAGAATTTTAGCAGCATTGTGCTTAACAGCAAAAACTGAGAATCAGGTTTCATCAACTAGAGTATGATTAAACTGTGGAATATTTATTTAATGGAATTCTACTGGTACTGGTTGTTATGCTACCGACTTTCATCTTCAAATCCACCCTTCCATGCTCTGTTCTGTGATGCTGAGGCTGAGCCCCTGGAAACCTCATCTCTTCTTTGCCACATGATTCTCTGTTAAACTCTGCCAATAAGAACTAGAGGGTAACCAGGGGTTGTCAGGGAAAGAAAGGAGACATTCCTTCCCATTTGCTTCCTTTTCCAGCCAGTGTCACTCCTGGCAAGAACAGCTGATTCTATTTTGCAATCTTTCGAGCCCTCACAGAACTAGCCTTTATTTTATCTCCACAGGGACAGTAGTCAGGCTGCTTCCCCATCACCAGAGGTCTACGTTTCAGTTCAGAGGGACTCCTCCTCAAAGCTTCTACGTTTTAATAATTCCAACTTGTTCCATCTGTTCTCCAGCCCTAGAAATGGCAATTGTCCTTTGCAATCACTACCTATATAACTAAGTGTTCTCTTTTTGCTTTTCCAGTTCTCCAGCACCAGTGAAACAAGTCTTTAAGTATTTTCAGTTAACATAAATGACTAAACCCTAACTGAAATATCAGTGAAAAAATGAAATATAACTATATACAAAATAAATAAATCTCATGAACATAACATTGAGTAACAAAGCAAATCACACAATATACAAAGTACGAGTTCATTTACATAAGGTTTCAAATAATTATAAAATTAAATATTCTTTAGAAAACAAATATATTTTATAGAACAGTGGCTATTAAACAATAGTTACAAGCCAAATCTAGCTCACTACCTGTTTTTTTAAATAAAGGTTTATTAAGCCCAGCTGCTGTGGCTCAGTGGCTTGAGCATTGACCCATGAACTGAGAGGTCCAGGTTCAATTCCCAGTCAGGACACATGCCCAGGGTTGTGGGCTCCATCCCCAGTAGGGGGCAGGCAGAAAGCAGCCAGTTGATGTATCTCTCTCACATAGATGTTTCTCTCTCTCCCTTCCTTTCTCTCTAAAAAAAATCAATAAAAATATATTTTTAAAAAATAAAGGTTTATTAAAACACAGCCATGCACATTCATTTACACACTGGTACATATATATGGCTCTTTTCACACTACAATGCCAGAGCTGAATACTTGAGACAGATACAACATGGCTCATCAATGCTAAAGTATTTATTATCTGGCTCTTTACAGAAAATGTCTGTTGATCCCTGCCATAGAAAAAAATATGTAAGCACAAAATTCAATATAGGAACTACCAAAGAAGATGATATAATAAGAGAAGGGCACACCTCTACAATCACTTGATTTACAATGCCATCACTATAATACAGTGGGGAAAAGAATGGTCGCAAAGAATGGTGTTGGAGCAATAGACTAACAATATAAAAATAGGAACCATGACCTTAACTTAACATCATGTGCATATTAATTCATGATGAATAATGTATTTAATGAGAAGTAAAACATGTGGCTTCTAAAAGACAGAAAACCTGCTGTAGACAGTGTAGTTAGCTAACAGACGCATTTAACTGCTCCCACACCTTCAGGATCCACTGCAGTGTTCATAACAATGGCAATGACTGGGAATAGCAGAGATGTTAGGACTGGGCCATTTCTGCTTAACATGGAATCCTTAAAGAACAACATTTGCTTTGGAGTTCCCTATTAGCCTGACAGACACTAACTAAGACTATAAAACCCTCTGAAGTCTGAGGCTTTTCCTAGACACTCTCTCCTCTTTCTTTCTCCTCTCACAGATACCAGACCTATAGTGAAATCTTAAGGCTCTCTTTATCTAGTCCTGCTCATTTTACTCTTTATCCTTTATAGGCTTTTCCTCTATTAAATCTCTTCCATTTCTAATTCCAATTCAGTGTCAACTTCCCAGATTTAAACTGGCATAATTACCATTTTGAGAAAAAAATGCATGTGAGTATACACACACACACATACACATACATCTGGGACTTCCACATCTAGTCAAAAAGGAGTAACAGGGACTAGATTTACCCCACTGCTTTAAACAAAACCAAAAAGGCTGACAAATATATGAAACGATGGTTTTCAGACAGCAAGCAGAACAAGATAGTGATCACTGAAAGAGAGGAACCAAATAAGGCAAGCCCTACAATCATTTTAGCTAACTGTCTTAGGAGAGTTTTCAGTCAAGTAGGGAAACTGAGGATGGACTCCAGCAATCTCCCCAAGTTCAGAAGGTAGATCTAGAAGTCCAGGAAAGCCAAGGTGTCTAGAGTTTGCAGAGCAGAGCAATGGAGAGGATAGAGCTACAGAGTCCCCTGCAAGTCAACAACTGAGTACTGACTAGAATATGTTTATGTGGAAGCTACCCAAAAACAGGGAAAGAACAACCAAAAATGAAAAGTAGGAATAATCTCTGTAACAAATACAATGCCAGGAATAGTCCATGTTCTCACTAGCTAGAGTGGAAAACCTTATAATTCAAGGGGCATCAGGAGTATTCAGAAGGGTACTGCCTGCAGTGGGTTAAATTAGCCCTATACTAAAAGCTGGCTCTGATGTCACTTTAAAAGCTTACAACCAAGATTTAAAAGGGCCAAACTACCTCCAAATAACTTAATGCTATCCCATTAGAAAGCTCAAGATTATTTATAGAAATACAAAAATATCCACAATTCAAAAAAGGTAAAATTCATACCATATGGTAGCATCCAGTAAAAAACAACTAGGCAGGCAAAGAAGCAGGAAAATACAAAAATACAATCCATAATTAGGAGAAAATTACTCACTCAAAACCTAGCCATATGTGACTCAAATAACAGGAATATAAAGAACATCATTTAAAAAGTTATTATAACTATATTCCGTATGTTCCAGAAGCTAAAAGACTGAGCTTGTTCAGTAAAGACATGGAATACATAAATGAAAACAAAAGACCCAAACTGAACTTCTAGAGTTAAAAACTACATTATTTTATATGAAAAATACAGTGGATAAGATTGTGATAGATTAGACATTGCAGAAGATGATTAATGAAGTTGAAGACACAGCAATACAAATTCTCCATAAATAAACACAGAACAAGAAAAACTGAAGAAAAAAATGAACAGAAGATTAGAGAGTTGTGGGGGTAACTTCAAGTGGCCTAATATTTGTGTAATTGTAGTCCTCAAAAGAGAGGAGGTAGGGGTGGGTGGGATACAAAAATATCTGAAGCCATGATGACTGAAAAATTTCCCACAGGTCCATAAAGCCCAACAGACCCCAACCAAAAGAGACCCTTAGAAAACTAGTCCAAGGCCTACTAT